ATGTGCTCTCTGTATACATGTTGTATTGGATGTACAATGCAGCTTGGTGCTGGGAAGGCAGCATGGTTACAAGCGTGATGTAGAGAGAGCTGGTTGGTGAGGATGCTCAGAGGAGGACAGCTTGTGGGTCGCCATGCTCGCCGGCGGGAGCGAGGGCCGCCAGGCAGCGGCGGAGGAGGAGGTGTTGCTTGAAGACTGTAGCTAGAAGAAGAGGGTTGGTTGGTGAGGATGCTCAGAGGAGGACAGCTTGTGGGTCACCATGCTCGCCGGCGGGAGCGAGGACCGCCAGGCAGGCGGAGGAGGAGGAGGTATTGCTGGCTGGTTGGTTGGTGTAGGTAGAAAGAGAGAGATCACCACGAGGTCAGGTCTTAAATAGCGGGGGGTAGGGTGGCTTAGTAGTTGACCCCCGCTCCGTGGGCGGCGCTGGTTGACCTAGACCACGAGGCACACACTGGGGAATTCGTGGGGTCGGCTACTCAGCGACAAACAGCGTTTGTAGGGGAGAAATCCACTACAATACTCCCTCCTTCCCCCCAGGCGGTGTAGGAGACTTGTTGTCTGCAGGGTTGCATGGCACATGTGAGGCAGAACGGGCGGTGCATGCCTCATGTGGGACATAATGGCAGGGCGTGGATGAGCCGGCCGCTAGAGACAACTGTCTAGATACACAATATCTGTGGGAGTAGAGAGGGAGAAAAAGGGTGTGTGGAGGCGATGAATCTTGTGCTTCCCTCACGGCAGGTACAGAGTCGTCAGATGCGCCTGCTGGGGTGTGTGGGCCTGGGTCAGGAGCAGGGCCTGCGTCAGCAGAAGCGGATGAGGGCTCGTGACAGCAGCTGGGTCCACGACAGCAGCAGGGTGCAGGACATTAGCAGGGAGTACCTGAGGGAGAAAAGAGGGGTGTGTTGGTCCGCACTCAGGTGCATGGGCCGCGTCGGGAGCAGGGGCTGCATTAGGAGCGGCAGGGGGTACTGCTGGGCCGGGGGCGGCGTCTGAGGCAGGACGGGTGTGCTGGGGTCGGTAGGACGTGGTGCTTGGGGCAGGAAGAGGAGCTGGTGTCTGCTTAGAGAAGCAGTGCTGCTCTAGGGTGTCTAACCTGTGGTGTAGAGACAGTAGCTGCCGATGAGATCTGCCTCTGGGTGGATAAGCCAGTCTTCCATGTTGCTTGAAGACTGGGAGCGTGATCTGTTTCTCCTCCATCCTGTGTGAGTGCGAATCTCCGGGGGTCACCATTTGTGGGGTACGTTTGTTTGGGTTCACACTCAGGATGGGATGGAGAAAGGAAACTCACGATGTGCTCTCTGTATACATGTTGTATTGGATGTACAATACAGCTTGGTGCTGGGAAGGCAGCATGGTTACAAGCGTGATGTAGAGAGAGCTGGTTGGTGAGGATGCTCAGAGGAGGACAGCTTGTGGGTCGCCATGCTCGCCGGCGGGAGCGAGGGCCGCCAGGCAGCGGCGGAGGAGGAGGTGTTGCTTGAAGACTGTAGCTAGAAGAGAGTTGGTTGGTGAGGATGCTCAGAGGAGGACAGCTTGTGGGTCGCCATGCTCGCCGGTGGGAGCGAGGACCGCCAGGCAGGCGGAGGAGGAGGAGGTATTGCTGGCTGGTTGGTTGGTGTAGGTAGAAAGAGAGAGATCACCACGAGGTCAGGTCTTAAATAGTGGGGGGTAGGGTGGCTTAGTAGTTGACCCCCGCTCCGTGGGCGGCGCTGGTTGACCTAGACCACGAGGCACACACTGGGGAATTCGTGGGGTCGGCTACTCAGCGACAAACAGCGTTTGTAGGGGAGAAATCCACTACAACCCCTTGTGAGGCAGACTTCCGCTAGCTCCAGGTATGTACATTTGAGTGAGTAGTGCCCCTTGAGATGTTTATGCACTTCGATTAGGTCGCCCCTCGCCTGTCTGTAGTATAAGCTAGGTAATTGCAGGCTCTCCAATCTCTCTGGGTAACTGAGGTTCCGTAGAGCAGGCACCAGTCTGGTGGCCCTCCTTTGGACATTTTCCATCAACTGACAGTCCTTAGCATATCTCGGGGACCAGACGGGGTGACAGTACTCAGTGTATACTCCTCATCCCCTCCCTCATTCCGTTGTAATTTCCTTTGTAATATTTGATCCTGGACTTGGTTTTGTCATGAACCAAGTAACAATTAAATCTGAAGGACATCGTTACGTGGTGACTGATGCCAACTGGGGCTAGGTGTTCCAGATTTGCCACCATACCCTCCTGGTTAGTTATGATGTATAAACATCTCAGAGGGCACTACTCGGTCGAATGTACTAGTATACATATCTGGAGTTGGCAGACGTCCTCCCCACAAGGGGTTACAGCTCAGGGTGAAAAGGACCTAGGTGAGTACGTTGACAATGAACTAAATTTCTCGGGCCATTGAGAGAAGAAGGTAAACCAGGCAACTAAGTTATTAGGTCTTATAAGGTCATTCAGATATCTAGATGGTCCATCCCTCGTAACGATCTTCAAGAGTGAAGTGCTTCCCCGCCTAGAGTAGTCATCCCGTCTGGTTCCCGAGATATGCTAGGAACAGTCAGCTGATTGAAAATGTCCAAAGGAGGGCCACCAGATTGGTGCCTGCACTGCGGCAGCTCAGCTACCCAGAGAGATTGAAGCGCCCGAACTTGCCAAGCTTGTACTACAGACGGGCAAGGGGGGATCTGATTGAGGTGTAAAAGCTTCTCAGGGGGCACTACTCAGTGTCCTTACCGGGAGCTGGCGGACACTCGCCCCACAAGAGGACACAGCTCAAGGTTAAAGAAGCCACAAGTCCGGATAACTGTAAGGCAGGGGTGTCAAACATGCGGCCCATGGGCCACATGGCCCAACACACTCTTGCATGCGGCCCGCGGTCCATTTGCTGCTCCAGCCTTACCTCGAGGAGAGGAGCTAAAACTAAATAGTGAGTGTATCCCTCAGCTGAATAAAATAGTCTGCTGTTTCCTAGAACAAAATACTCAGTCAACATCACCAATGAAAGAACAATAAGACTAGAGATAGTTTTAACGGTTAATTGTGGTTGTAAGCGTGCCACTGTACGAGTTGTGAGACGGCCGACTGGCTACTGTTCACGTATACACTCCGTACAGTACAGGTATTAGACATGAAAACTCTCACGCGGCAGGCTCTCGCTTGGCCAGTCATTCGAGAACTAGTCCTGCATAGTCGCTAGAGGCAGTTGGAACGTTGCAAATATCCATAATTATGTTTTCAAAGAAAAGAACAGTTAATGAAGAGCATCGGGTGGTACAGGATAAGTGGAAAATCTTATACTTTTTTGTTGAAATGAATGGAAAACCAACATGTTTGATTTGAAATCAACAAGTTGCTGTGGCCAAAGAATACAATGTTCGAAGGCGTTATGAAACTAGCCATGCTATAAAGTATAATAACTAAAGTGGAAAGTTACGTGAAGACAAAGTTAAGGAGTTGGAGCAGTCATTGAAAAAGCAGAGGTCAGTATTTAAAAGTATTCATCAAGTCAGTGATGATGCAGTCTAATAAATTGGAGACAGAGTTTTATGACTGCATTCGTGCCTTGAGATGAAACTTCAGCTTTTTGAACGGCAACTATCAGAGAGTAATCTTTCTCACTTTCCGACCTTGAAGTCCCTGCAAGGCACACCAGAGTTTCATGCTGATATCAACACAAAAAAGTACTGCATCGAGATTTCCAAATTAATGTACGAGTTCCAAGAAAGATTTGCTGACTTTAAAAGACTTGAGAAGGATTTTTTTTCATTTTTCGGGACCCATTCTCTGTTGGTGTTAATTAGGTACCAAAACTTCTTCAGTTAGAATTAATTGAGCTCCAATGTGATTCTGTGTTGAGGAACAAGTTTTCGAGTGTTGATGTTGGCACATTTTATCAATATTTTGGACCAAATTATCCCAGGATTAAATGTTTTTTCCTCAAAGATTGTCAATGTTCGGAACTACCTATGTCTGTGAACAACTCTTTTCTGTGATGAACTTGAACAAGTCTCGGCTTCGGTCTCAACTTACTGATGTGCACCTTGATTCAATACTGAAGGTTGCTACAGCTCAGTCGTTAGTGCCAAACTTTGATGCACTGGTCCATACCAAGAGGTGCCAATTATCAGGAAGCAGCAGTAGCAAACACTAAGACTGATCAAGGTAAGTAAACACTTGATTTGTTTGTTTGTTTTTAGGGGTTTTAAACGAGCGCAGACTAAATCCACCTTTCTTATTTTGTCGTACTGCTCACCTAAGAGGTGATTGCGAAGTGCTTATAATTATGTTACTTGGCCCGCATACTGTGTACTCATATTAAATCTGGCCCGCCTTGGCAAATGAGTTTGACACCCCCGGTGTAAAGAGTAACTTTTTCGGATTGAGAGTTGTGAACTCTTGAAACAATCTGCCAGAGAGTGTGGTGACGGCACCGAGTGTGAGCTCTTTAAAGACCACATTTGACCAACACTGGAGCAGGTTCAGGTACATTCAGGAGTCGGTGCATGCCCAGTACTTTCCAACAGTGCGTGAGTTGCCTAACAGACGTGGCCGACCGCCCAATCGGCTAACGAGCCGATCAGTGGTGAAGAGGATAAAAGTAAAAGTATTAATATGAAATAGGCTTTTGATTTTTATTTAATTTTGCTTGCAGTCTAATGCTCTGCGTGGGTACAAGATATTCCTTAACTTACATGGCAAAACACGTAGCACTGAAGAAAACATTACTTGTGTATGTCACCATATTGAGTTAGCTCCGTACCAAGGTATATTCCCTGCTCCGTACTTTACTAGAAGTTTCTCGGGTTGCGTAGTGCTTAAGACTAATGCTACTGCCACAGGCTTCTATAATGTCTATGTTCCAGTAATATTTTTCAGGAAATGGAGTATTTTTCATTGCGGATACCTTATATTTGCTACATATCATAGGAAATAAATACGTAAAATGTTTGTAACATATTTTTCTAATATTTTTAATAATTGCAATTTGTTTAACAAATTAGGTTGACGTTTCCACACGCCGTTCGGGCCCCGTAGCGTCAGGTCAGCTGTGGCTGGTTCCTCAATCGACGGCCTGTGACGTGAGGCACCGAATACTTTTGGGAACAGTTGTTCACCACTGGTGTGGGCTTCGTTGCTCCTGCTAGGGCCTAGCATATTGAAAAATGACCCGTAAGTAGTCGGCAAGGAAATGGTTAGTACTTATACATTTCAAATTAAAAGTTTATAATATTAAAGTAAGGAAGAGAATGCGAGGTGGTGTGTGGTGGCCCTTGTGTCTGTTCACTGTCAGCTACACCACTTTGCAAAATTTTGTATCGTTTATGAACTTAGCAGCCTTGTGTGCGCTCTACTTTTAGAAGTGTAATTTAAAAAGTTATTTACATAGTTTGTTCCCCTTAGGAGCACAATATATAGGCATGTGAAGAAAGTGGTATAATTGTCAATGAAAGGACTAACCATCAAAGTGACCATATTATTACTATAGAAGACAGTGTTTCATAATCTTGCAACTAATATGAGTCTGATGTAGACATGTCAGAATTCTGTGGTTTGTATTTCTATTTCTGTTTACTCTTAAGGTGGTGTGGCCCACTGAAGTGAGTGCGGAATATTGTAAAAAAATGGATTTGAACAACAATAAACATTTAGAGGTGGTACTATAGCATGCAGTCTACAATATATTTAGGTTAAGTTAGCATAGGTTAGGTCAGGTTAGGTTAGGTTAGACTAAAGAGATAATATATATGGTACATTTATAGTAGTTCACACAACCCTGTTAGAAAGTCAAAACTATGTTTATCTATTTTTTTTGTGTTTTGATTGGTTCTGACCTTGATTTCTGTCAGAAATTGCTTGTTTTTTTAGTTATCGTCCCCTTCTACCCCCCAACAAGATAATGAGATCCTGTTGGGAACCAGGGTTTTGGGTGGGGGAGAGAAACAAGTATTTTCCGACAAAAATCATGGCCAAGTGAATACAAAACACAACCAAAAACACTAGAAAACATATAAACCTAACCTTTTTTGGGATGACCTGACCTAACCTCTCACTGTGTTTATACATAACCAGACTGTCACCTTATGAGGGAATCACTGTTATTTCTTACCTTATACAAAATTAGAATCCAAAATTCTAATAGGCTTGAGGACCGTTGACGTGAAGGGCCTGGTTCCGGTTCGTCGTCGGATATGGCAAAAAAAAGAATGCTTTTGATTGGCCGCGTGACGTGTACAGGGACGGTCTGACTAATTACCCAAATGTACCCAAATGTAGTCGCAATGAAGTCAAATGATGGTCCTACAAGCATAAATCGGGCTGTGAATCACTTCTCGATTATTATTTGGTGTCATAAAGTCACAAAAAATTGGTAAACTTAATTTAATCTGAGTTGTGTTAGGTTAGGTTAGGTACATGCACTCGATCTATTAACTCAGATTAAATTAAGTTTTCCAATTTATTTTTACTTTGTGACACCAAATACTAGTCAAGAAGTGATTGACAGTCCGATTTATTCATGTAGGACCATTATTTGATTTCATTGCGGGTACATTTGGGTAATTAGTCGGACCCTACAGGAATGCATGCGCCTGTCGATTTATGAAGGGCAGATTAATGGAATTAAATAGAAAAGAATTGGCATACGCTATCTCCGTTATTATGCGTTTCCGACGGTAATGTAATCGAAGAAAATTATCTTAAAATTAGATGTCTTTTTCGAATATGATAATAGATTTGGGGTAGGGATGTTGTGCGAACTACTATATAAACGACTACACCGCCAATGCTTTATTTGTTTTGATGTGTATATTCTTACTATATTTTCATCAGTGAGTTCTGATGTAATAATTTTTAGGGAAATTGCTTCGTTTGGTAGATAATTAAGCGACTAGGCATGCACTTGTTTGATTGGCATGAACTATATTTTGTTTTTCTCGGTGGTGATGTGGCAGTACACAGCCAATCGTGCCTCCTGCGCTCTACAGCTTTCTGCTCTGTTAGTTCAAATTTTATCTGTAGAAATTTCTTTTCGGTCATTTGGGAGTTTAAATTATATTTTTCCGAGTTTTTTTGTTTGGAACGATTCTGACCTTCATTTCTACCGCAAATCATTACTTTATGAGCTACCCCCTATATCCAATGATAATGGGGAACCCCCAGTGGGAACCAGGGGTTTGGGATTGGGGAAATTACAAAAAATAGTAATTTGTGATAGAAATGAAGGTCAGAATCATCCATAACCCAACTTAACGTATCCACCTGTGTGTCTACCTTAATAAGACTCTGAAGACTTGGAGTTGTGGTCCTCATTATCCACTGGCCACTGTACCTCCAACTGCGGGGGTACACCTTGCTGGCAGTGATGAAGAACTGGTGTTGAAACATGTCCTTGCTGAACTGCGCGATGAACAAGTAGCACACCAAGTACTCCTTGAAGTAGGCGGACTTGTTGCCAGGTCGCTTCACCCACTCCTTGAGATCCCTTCACAGATGCTCGATATTCTGAGTGTGGATGGCTGGGTTATGTGGATCAACAAAATTCTCAGAGTGGTTGATGGCCTGGTGGTTGTATCCGTGCTCCTTCAGGCTGTTGTAGGTTGCCCACTTGTCGCTAACAGCAGTTGACCCTGGCTGTATATACTGTATTTCTTGATTTGCAGAATCAACATGGTAGTGTCGCATTTACAGCCAAAAGGTTCTACGAGTGGGATGGCGAAAAACTACTTGCAGATTCTCTCAGTGCTGCCAAACAACCAGATTTCATTCGTACTTCCTCTTGCCAAATTGCAATTTGACTATTTCCATGATGACACCAGGGCCTCCTACTGGCTCTTGATGGTCAAACCAATCCTCCGTCACTTACGAACAGAAACTGCACCAGTCGACACTTGTACTGTATTGGGAGACAGGTGCAGGCACTTGATAATGTATGATGTTCCCAGACCTTCTGGAGCCAATGCTTGACAAATAAGATCAGTTTTCATGGGTCCAGATGTGCACTGTAGAGAAATGTTTCTTTGTAGTGTGACACTGTATAATTGTCCTTCATCCTTAGGAATAACAGTTCTCCTCCCTCAGTACCAAAGGTGTTTTCCAACTTTGTATCTACAAGGATGGTTAAACTTTGTGCAATTAACTTCCGTAGGTAAAACACTGTATTTTAGAAATTTCCACACTTCTGTCTTTACCATAATAATCGATGTGGAAATTCACATCACAGTCATTGTACAAGGGAGACATCTTGGAAATAAATTCAAATTCAAGCGGGGGTGGGGCCAGGGGGCCTATACCGAGCTGTGATGTGGTTGATCAAAAATCATACCCACCACTCAACGTGCAAAGAACAACTACACATGTAATGCAGCATAGTAACCAACAAACGAACACAGAGGAGCTCTCTGGGAAGGTGGTAACATGAACAGGAACTTAAGACAAATTTCCAACAATCACAATTTTCTCTGAAATTAATCATTTGTGGAAGAAATGCTACAGAAGAAATGAGTTTTAAAAGTGTCTAAACTACCGATTCCAAAACTTAAAATCATAAAGTTCACTGGGTGACTGAAACGATAATAATACCATTTCACCGTGGCATGTGAAGGATGTCACTGTTCGTATATGGATATTATTGTGAATTCTGGGGGAAAGGCTGTCTCGCCCTTCAGTTTTATGAAGACCACTGCACCCTTCCCTCCAAAAGAAACTGCTCGGAGTATGGGGAATTCCTGTGTTTTCTACCCAGACCACTGCACAATCATTCACCACTTCCTGAATGCCGTGGCTTGCCACTTCTCCTGTCTCAGTAACAGCAAGTTAGCCCATGCCAGGTGTTTAAGTTATGCTAGGTTAGGTTGGTATTATTACCGCTTGGCCATCTGGGAAATCTGGACGACTGAAGCCATAAATACTGTCAGATAGTTAGGTTAGGTTAAGTTGAACTTTTAAATAAACACTTTTTAACACATTTGCCATAACTAAGACACTGTCCACTATAAAGCACTGTGGAATTGCAACGTTTTAAATTTTGACCTCTTTGAAAAATCAGTGGTGGTGAAGTTGTAAATAATTACCGACTAAAGATAGGTTTGTAGACTGCACGCTAGGGTGGTCCAAAAATTAAAAGTTGGAATTTTAATTTAGACGCATGTTGCCCTAATAACTTTACCCCAAACATGTCTTCGGGCAAAATTTCAGTTCCGTATGTCAATATTCAGGGGTCCCGCATTTCGTGAGCAGTGAGGGTGAACTGCTCTCTGAAGAGGAAGATCTTAAGAGCATAAATGGCCTTTGCCATCCATCTGGCTTGGTGGAAGGCCCCAGGTGCCCTGAACTTCACACCTCCCTCTGGAATTTCTTCCAAGAAGGTGTAGGACAGGACAATGAGCTCCCTGTAATCGTCCCTGAGGTGGGCTAGAGTTTTTATGAGACTAAAATAAATAAATGTTTTGCGGGACCCCTAAACATCTTCCAATTTTCTTCAAATTTTATACACAGCTTGTGTATATGAAGTGCAACGAGGGCACCATGTGCTCGCTTGGTTCAGACAACTTTCAAATTTTCATCCTATGATTTGGACCACCCTACCTCACGCTATAGTAACACCCTTTTAGAACTGCCAGACCACATTATAATGCTCAGAGGTTAGTTTAAAAAAATAAAAAAATCGGTGGGTGTTTTCTTCACCAAAGTCATTGCATAGATCTTGTTTCTTTGCGTTCTATATACAACTTTGCTCAGGAAAATGTAAATGAAAATCCAGAAAAAAAATAAAGGTTACAGTAGGGCAGACGGCTAACACCAGGAGTTGTTGTTCGATTACGTTCAATTTTCCACATATTCATTGGATGATAGTAAGTAATATAATGGTTTTATTTTTCTTTATTTTTTTTAAAAGTGATTTCCAAATTTTTCCATATGATCATATGAGAAAAGCACCGGCTAATATTTATGACTAACCTGCAGATGCGTTAGGTAGTTGTTTTGATGTTTATTTTCTTGTTATATTTTTGTCAGTAAGTTCAGATGTGATAATAATTTCTTTAGAAAATTATTCATTCAGTAGATAATTTGGTGCACACTACTTTGTCTTCTCGGTGATGATGCTGCATTCCCGGATGTAAACAGCCAATCATAATGACGCGCTTCGATCAACGCCAGTGTACAGTTATGGGTAAGGTTATTATTTTCACCGCCGTTTTTCATAGAAAACGATTTTAAAAACTCCGCAATTTCACTGTTTTATAGTGGACACTATTGTAGTTATGGCAAATGTGTTAAAAAGTGTTTATTTAAAAGTTCAATGTAACCTAACAACATAAGCTAACCTTAACTTTAACCTAACCAAACCTTAGCCTAACTTTACCTAGCATAGCTGAACACCCACAGTGGGCGAACTTACTGTTACTGAGACGGGAATCGCCGAGCCATGGTGTTGAGGAAGTGGTGAATGATTGATGACTGATGACAAACCCAGCTCAATTTCACAGTATAACTGAAAATGCTTCCTTACGAACACATTCATAAATAAGACTATAACTGTAAAAAAATTGAAGGGTCAGATCGACTTTCCCCCAGAATTCACAAATAATGTCCTTACTGTATATGAACAGCGACACCCTTCACATGCCATGGTGAAATTTGAACTGGCTGAGCAGAGAGCGACAGAGCTCGGCTTGCATGGCGTTTGATTGGCTGAGTACCGTTGCATAACCGCTGAGAAAGACAAAATGTAGTGAGCGCCAAACAAGTAGTGCGCACTTATTTGTGTAAATATTTACCAAACGAAGGAATTTCCCTAAAAATAATAATTATACCAGAACTCATTGATGAAAATATACTAAGAATATAAACATTAAAACAAATAACTCGTCGACTGTGAAGTCCTCCACATTAGCCGATTTTAGTAGAGGATATGTATTATGTTGGGAAAAAATATTAAAAGGGCTGAAATCATGTGCTTACCAAACCTAACCTAACCTAACCTGTATCTTAACTTGCCTATACTCTCTAGAAAACTAAGCATTTATCCAAGAAAGTGAATAGAAGTGAAAGTACCGGTAATCAGCTTACTAAACTGTCTAAAAAAAAATCCTTAATTACTGAACAGCTGACGGTCATGAGTTGTATATTAGTCCATTTATGAGCCGCACAGTCCAGACGGCTGCTTTCACGTCCACAAAAAAAAACTTAAACTTGCACCATATCATAGCAAGTTCTTTCTCTTTAATATGCCAGGGGAACGGAGCCCTATGGCTAGGGAGTTAGATAAGGTTAGGTAGATTGGTGAGGTCTTCTAACAATGCCTCTGTTTAACACGTTTGCCAATACAGCTCCTCCCCGACTTACGACAGGGTTAGGGACCCAAATCCAGGTCGTAAGTCGAAAATGCTTAAATAATACATAGAAAATCCAAAATGGGTGTCTCTTTTTCTTCTCAGCACCACAAAACTCTCACTTTTAAGCTTGCCAGCCATTTTAAAGTGAATTACAAACAAAAATTTTGTCTGTACACCGCGCAATCACTGACGTTGGGACTCGAAAATATGTAATTTGACAAAATTTTGGTATGACTGAGGCGGTCGTATGTCCGGGTGGTCATAAGTCGGGGAGGAGCTATACTATGATAGTGTTCACTATAAATCCCAGTGAATTTTAAGTGTTTTTAAAATTGTTTTCTATGAAAAATTGGCGTTTGGTCAGTCGTAAATAATTTCCAAATTACCTGTCGTGATTGACAGTTGAATTCACACTGATGCGACACATCACCACAGGTGATGGCCACCATCATATTCATTTCAAAATAGCATTGCAAGAAGATATACTGGGTATATTTATTATACTGTATCTCGGCTTGCTAAGCTCCACGGCAAATTTACAGGCGCAGACTCTTCCACATGAACACCCAGCCAGACGACCAGAGAGGTAGAAGCAACTGACGATCTGGTAACAGTGTGTGTGTGTGTACTGGGGTGGGAAGGGGAGAGTTCTTGAGTTGCATGTTGCATAATATACAGTAATCATTTTTATTTTATTCATTATAAAGTATTGGAAGTAGAAGGGATTATTAAATTTAGGAATAAGTTTTTTTCCAGTAGTATTACAATGTTTGATTTTTTTTCACTGTAAATGGTAATTTTTAATCTAAATTTGGAGGCCAGAGAAACATGTGATCTTAACCTTCCCACACCAATTCTTAGTAAGAATAGTGTGGGAGAACAGGTGCCAGTCAATGGTTGATGTTGACCAAATATTTACCTGTAGTTATAATACCCATTCTTATAATAAACTTATTTCTAGAGGATAGGAATATTGCAATAAAAAATAGTATGGGAAGTTGTATTATTACGTGAAATGAAACCTGTGATTGTTATCATAACGGAAAATAAAAGTCCCTTATTATTAATGAGAAAATAAAGCATATACTGTAAACAAATTTTTATTGCATTTTTCACTCAGAAGTACGAGAGATGACCTAGTGAAAGCGAAGCTCATGAGAGGTGGTTAGATTTTTGCTTTCACAAAGGCTGTCCTAATAAGTGACGATATGAGGTTGGACTTGGGCATCAGAAATCATTGACAGAGGAACACCGTGCCAGCAGACTTGCCTTGGTTTGTTGGCATTAGGCACTGGACTTCTGGAAAAGGCTTGTTTTCACTGACATAAATTCTTTACTTTAGTATCCTGTCCACCCACCTGATAACAGCTTTAAGTCTTTTGGGCATTGATCTAACAAGTTTGCAGAGGATATCATGTTTGGCCCTAAATACCTCCCGTTCTGCCTTGGTGTGGGCAAACAACTCTGAAGATGTTTTTCCCTCACGGGCTTCCATGTGTTCACAATATTCGCCCATAAATTTTCCAAAGGGTTCATGTCAGGCCCTTGACAAGGCCAATCCAGCAGCTGCAAATTCTCATGGTCAGCAGTGTGTATGGGGCACCAGTCATGAACGAAAACAATAGGTCCAGGGGGGAAGGGAAATTTCTTTCCTGCAGAGAGGGCAAGAAAAAATTATCCAAAATGTCCAGTTACTTCTGCGCTGTAAATCTCCCGTCGATTTGAACCAAGCTCCCCACACCATGGACAGACATATAGCCCCACACATTACAGGTGCTGCGTCTGCCACGAACCTCCTTGTAAATATGCTCACGGTCATACCTGTTGTTAGAAATTTCAGCTGTTAATGTCATGATGCATTATAATTTGTGTAACTATCAGTATTGCTGGAAACCTTTACTCTAGAAAATTACTTTGGCTTAATATATAACTAGCAACTTAATGGTTTCCAATTTGGTATTTTATTAAGAATATTGCTGGACAAATAAATACGCATACTCATTATCGACGTGTGCCTTTCCGAGTGAGTAGTGGTGGTATTTATTTATATCATAGGATTGGATTTGTAGTTTTAGCAGGTCTGAAAACCAGGATTACTTGATTTATAACCTTTGCATATAATTTACATACAGCAGTTCCTGAAATGTTACCATAAGTGTAGGAATTCATAAAAGGTCGAATCTTTGTACAGGGTATTAGTTTGTTTTATTGCATTTGTTAATTGGACAAAATGATGTACACCTAGACCCCGACTTACGACTACGTGGACTTACGACCGCCTCAGATATAGATGAAAAAAGAAAAAAATTTTTTTTTTTTTAAATGACACGCATTTTCTATACCGAAACGTTTCCAGTTAATGTAGTCTCCATGTATAATTAGAAAATTATGGGGCCCCATGTGCATTCAGCTGACTACATTAAAGGTTAAGTGCTCAGTCACACTGTATCCATTCCTTATTATTTATTACTTTCACTGTACTGTATCCATTCATCATTATTCATTACTTTTACTGTACTGTATTTCATTGTAGATTATTTATTAAAAAAAAAAAAAAAATTTTTTTTTTTTTTTATCTATGTCGGACTTACGACCATGTCGGACTTATGACCTGGATTTGGGTCCCTAACCCCGTCGTAAGTCGGGGTCTAGGTGTATTATTGTTACCTCGTGTTGTTGCGCCTCCACATGTATATTTTGCCGTGATTGGTTGATGCAAAGATCTTTTGGTCTGTGAAGACAACTCTGTCCCAGAATTCCAGAGACTGGTCAGCATGTCGACGAGCGAAGGCTAGTCTGGCAGCACGGTGTTCCTCTGTCAGTCGTTCTTTCTTGGCGGGAATCCTGTGGTGGATACCCACCTTATGAAGCCGCCTCCAGACAGTTCTAGCGCTAACGTCCAGCCGCAAATCTTCGAATTGCAACAGCATTAGTGAAAGGGTTGTAAATATATTTGATTGCCTTGTAATCACCAGTAACATGTCAGTCTGATCAGTACTTACCAAGGTCATTCAGGTTGCCACTCTCCTCCCATCTTCTAATCCACTTGATTACAGTAGCGGCTGATATTCCAAGCTCATGGGATATGGCTCGGATAGAGAGTCCAGCTTCTCACAGGCCCACAATGCAACTTCTCAAAGCTAACTGGGTGTCACGACGGTTCATCTTGAAGTCTAACAGCTTTCTGTTGAATTCTATGATTTTTAGGGTCACTACAATACCTCGGATGAAGTTTGACTGTTGACACTTATGTGATGAACACGCAAATTATCATTGTTTTCACTATTTTGTATTGTATTCCATTCAGGGGCAGATGCATTTATATATTGAAACTTTTTTTTACATATGTCTATAAATTACCTGTGAAAATAAAGGATAAGGTATGTGTGTGCGCATGAGTGCGTTACAGATGGCCCAGCGCCACAAGGTAACTTCCTAACATTATAAAGGATAGCATTAAGCACCTACATGTCATTGGCAACTACTTGTCAGTATTTTTCGTAGCACCATTCCACTAGAATCATATTAAAATGATAAGTGTAAAGAGGTCATTTTGGTTTACCCGGTGCGAGGCTAGGTCGAAACATGACGTACAACATAGTATGTTTTCATTATGCGCTATTAATGCTTTCATGAAATATGATGTGCATATAAGAGCAGCTGAATCACCTAAAAATGTGTACTGTCAGTTAAAAGTTATATGTTGGATTTGGAAAATAATTATAACTAAGTAATTGGTTGATATCAATCATTGACTGGCACCTGTTTTCCCAATCTGTCCTTACCCGAAGAAAGGTAGCAGTAGTGTGGGGAGGTAAAGGTTACGCGTTTCTCT